CCGCTGGCCCCGCTCGGACCCCGGCCGGGCCTCGGCGCCGCCGCAGCCCCTCATTCCGGCTCCATTCATAGGGGCACCCCAGCCTGGCCTGCAGGGCGGGGCTGGGGACCCGGGAACAAGGCCGGTCCGCCAAGGCCGGGGAGGAAAATAAAAAGTTAAGAGAAGAACTTACCTAAAATGGCTCCTGCAGCAGCCAAAATACAAACAGCTATTATTTGGTGAAGTTTAGCTCAGACACCCTGCAAGGACACCCTAACCCAGCTCGGGCCCGCCTTTCCAGCCGCGCCATTGGGCTTCGCCAGCCCAAAACACAGAATCATTGGTCCGCCCAGCTGTCACTCAGGTAGAAGCCCATTTCAAGCTTGCTTGCAGGGGCGAGTGATGGGCTCGCTCCATTGTGCTCGTATTTGCATGGATGTGATCGTAGCGCTGATTGGCCGATGCCGGAGTCGCCCCGCCTCCTGCCTCGTGCCCCCTCCCTACCTTGGAGACGCTGCTGCGCGCGGCCCCGCCTCCCGGGACAGAGCGGCGGAACCACGGGGGGTCCGGCAGGTCAGGGAAAGAAGGTGCTGAGAGGCCAAGCGAAGAGAGGAGACCCGTCGTCCGTCTCCAGCCGCATCTCCTGCCGCTCCGCCTGGATCCCTGTCGCTCCTGATACACAGCGGTCTTCCGCCCAAGGCCCCGCACAGCTGGGGAGTTTTCCAGACCCGGGGATCCTGCAGAGCCATGGATATACCTCCGTAAAATCAGGTGTCGAGCTGTGATATGTTTATTTTCTGGCCTATGTCCCCTGCCATCCTTGTAGCGTCCTCAAGGACAGGGCCCAGCATATGGCAGAGATTCAGCTAATTGTTGTGTTCTTTAATTCGTTAGCAGCTAATTTTTGAGCGCCCACTAAATGCTAGACGGGGGATACAGTGGTCAATGGGACAAAGCCCTTGCTCTGATGGATTAGGCGAAAGAAAGACAGTAAATAAATACAAGGGGCAGGTAGTGATAAATGCTGTACAGAAAATAGATGGAAGAAGGAAGGAAATTAGACCAGAGGTGAGGAGGAGCAATTAGGAAAGGAGGAATAGGTAGTTTGCCCTGCCTGGCTGAATACTCCGGAGGGTATCCGATTACTATCCCCTCCCACCCCTGACATTAGCAGTCACCTGCTATCCTCACCCCCTGCCTTCCCCATCATGGGTGTTTCCTTGGCATCCAGTAAAAAACTGTTTGGATCTGACTGTAGAGGCTCATTTTACCTCAATTAAAGCAGGAATGACCTGAGTCTGATGATTCTAAGGCCAATTTGTCAGATACATTTCAGATGAGCATGATTTGACTGTGTCAGGGGTAACTGTGATGATTTAGCAGTTTTACTGCACCCCCAGAGAGAATATTTTTAGCTTCTTTGAAATCCCAGTTTTTCTATGGCTTTCAGCCTGTGGCCCTCTCTTCTGAATAACGTTTCTTTACTTCTTGGCAGACACCAGAGATTTCTCCAGTTCAAAAATACAGAGGTGGCAGCCCCCTGCCACTCATCTTTCTCACCTGTGCACATTTGACTCAAGCCTGGCCAAGATGTCTTATGGTCCTTCCTCCTCTTTCTTCTTTCCTTAAACAAATATTTATTAAGCATCAACTGTGTTCCAGGTATTGTTTAGGCACAAGGCATATAGCATTAAACAAGGTAGAAAACATCTGTGTCCTCAAGGAGCTTTTAGTTTAGTTGAGGATAAGGTGGAGATTTACACATAGATCCTGAGCACCTCCAATCCTGCCAAGCTGCTGGTGTGTGAGTATACTGAGAGCTGCTTGTCCCCTGCTGCTGCCTCACAGGGACAGTATACCTGACCTTCTAAACCAGCTTCTGTAGGGGTTGAAGCAAAACCTGATGCAGAACCAGGCAGCGGGTAGCCACAGCCTCTCTAGCCCAAACACCAGGATCAAGGATTCCACAGTGCTCACTGGGCTCAGGTCTATGCACTTTCTTTTCTGGAAAAGGGCTGGGAGCAGAGTTATATCAGAGACAGACTTGGTAGGTTCTATGTGGGAGTCAGTGGCCCTCTTTTTGGTTAATAAAGTCCCTTGCCCACAAAAATTGAAATAACATAAAAGAGAATGGGAAGAAATGGGATTTCAGACAGAAGCAGCAGTACTATGTTCCTAGGCACAGAGGCAAGAGACAGCCTTGGTAGGTATGGGAGTGGGAGGGAGCAGGAAGTTAGACTGGTCAGTAATTTCTGTTCTTAAAGATTGAGAAAAGTCAGTAGCTCATAAGAATTTAAACACAGAGAGACAATGTTATGTCACCAAGCAAGAAATCGACAGGCTTACGTGATGGATTCACAAATGAGTGGGACAGGTACCAGCAAAGGAAAGGTCTGGCTGCACGCCTGACCTTGAAAGAGTCAGGTCTGCAGAATTTCAGCAGCATGCAAAGACCTGTGGAAGGCAGTGGAGGGGAAACGGAGAGCTAAGTTGTTAGCTGTACCCATTCATGGTGATGTCTTGGCCTGGGTTCTCCAGAAGCAGAGCCTGATTCTATAGGGCAGGAGTGATTCAAAAGGAGTAAGGTTAGGAAAAGGGAAAAGCCAATAATCTGGCCTCCGCTATGTGTGGCTGATTATTTCTGCTCAAAGTATTATCCTCTGAAGCCATATAAAATGAGTCTCAGTATAGCCCACAGGAGGGGGAAAGTAAGGAAATTTGTCCACCAGCTCAGGTTGCTGGTGGATAAAGAGTCACACAGGTTGTTCATGCATAGGTGCCAAGTGGGCTTCTGTGAGGTCCCAAAACTCAGTGTCAACAGGGAACCTGTCAAGAGGCAGGTGGAAGGACCATGTGGCAAAGCACTATCAGAGTGCAGCTGTATGAAGTCAGAGGGTGCCCATGCAGAGCTGGACACCACAACAGCTGATGGGACGAGATGGTTGACTCTATAAGGCTCTGAAGTTCTGCTACAGGGGAGACGCCAGTGATGCATAAATTTCTTACCATAGAAAATGTCCATGTTTCCAAAGGTCCCCCGAATAGCAATCCTCAGGAGCTCTGAATGGAGCCAGAGGACTTCCAGAAGTTCTAGAACTCTCTGACAGTAACTCCACAAACACAAGTTGTATCCCAACTGGCTGTGTTCTCTCTTGCTTTCCTGCCTCTGTTCACTTGTCTGCAGAATAGCAATCCTCAGGAGCTCTGAATGGAGCCAGAGGACTTCCAGAAGTTCTAGAACTCTCTGACAGTAACTCCACAAATACAAGTTGTATCCCAACTGGCTGTGTTCTCTCTTGCTTTCCTGCCTCTGTTCACTTGTCTGCTTCCTCCAATACAAGTTGTATCCCAACTGGCTGTGTTCTCTCTTGCTTTCCTGCCTCTGTTCACTTGTCTGCTTCCTCCATTAGACCATGGGCTTCCTTATTGTTCTTGTTTATATATCTGTGGCAGAAAAAAAATGTTATTTTTACTGGCTCATTTCGCTTTCCTCCTAGGGTTGTAGCAAAACTGCATGTCTCAGTAATCAGGTAGGCCCATGTGACTGAGCTTAGGATAATGGAATCCAGACAGAAATGGTAGATATATCCCATTTCTGGGCATCCCCCGAAAACTCCTGTGGGATCCTTAAACTCCCCTCCTTTCCTCATCTGCTATACAGATCCAAAAAATATCCAGTGGAGGACTCAGAGGACCTAGAAAATTGCAATGACATGAGCCTTGGTCCCTGACTGACTGCCTGGAGCAGAAAGAACCCCTGTGCTTACTTGCACTGGACTATGCTGTGAGTGAGGAATAAACTGTCATAGTGTCAAGTCTCTGAAATATGAAGGTTGGTTATTACAGCCGTTAGCACACCCTAATACAGTACTTGTCTAACTTCATTTGATTCCATGTCCTTCCAGGGCAGGGATTGTGTTTGTAACTCAAGCACTAGTGCCATGCCTGGCACATAGTAGGCATTGCTCAAAGTATGAATGAGTGTGAATGAGCTGATACGTGAGCCTGGTCTTAAAGGATTGGAGGTAGAATGCCAGGCAAGGTGTCAGGTAGAAAAAGTTCCATGAAGGAGGCATAGTGTGTGCAGAGGATAAGGGACTAGGAAGATTATGGTCCATTCTCAGCACTACAAAAAGTTCATGATAAAGAAGGGCGATGGCTAGGGTGAGGCTAGAGAAAAGGCAAGGGCCAGGTCCTTATATGTTACATGAAGGAGTTTGAAATTTATCCTACAGGAATCGTTGAAGGATTTAAACACGGATGTGATATCAAATTTATGTTTAAGAAAGATCTCTCTAGCCACCTAGAAAAAGGATGGATTAGAAAGAAAGAGCCAGAAATATGGATTTTTTAAGCAACATTTCCCTTTTTCCTAAATCATTCATCCCATGAGATGGTCCACTAAAAAGAGGCTTTGGGGTAAATTCAGTTTGGGAAGTTGTGCTTACTCTAGCCCCTGTTGAAGGTTCTTGGAGAATGTTTATTAGTATATTGAAAGCTCGGAGAGGTCCTGCATCAATGAAATCTGTTAAACTTTAATATAATAGTTCTCAAAATTATTTGACCACAGAAGCCTCTTTTCTTTTAGCACCTATTAAAACTGGTATCACTTAGGATTAGATTTGGCTGCATATAATGGGGAAAAAACAAAGGCTTAATAAGACTGAAGTTTATTTCTGTCTTGCATAAAAGAAATCTGGGAGGTAAGCACTCCAAGAGTAGCAAGGCAGCTCTATGGTAACTTCAGGAATCCAGTCTTCAATATTTTTGCTCCACCATCCTTAGCTTTCATTCCCAAGGTCACTTCATGGTCCAAGATGGCTGCTAGAGCACCAGCCCACATGTCCTTGAAGGAAGAAGGAAAGGCAAAATGGTAAAAGTGGAGCTGAGTCCCTTAAACAGCCTTCCTGGAAATACTACACATCACTTTTGCTCACATCTTACAGGCCAGAATTTGGTCACATGGCCACACCAAGCTGCAAAGGAGGCTGGGAAATATGGTATTTTATTTTGCTTTTCTATGTGCCAAGTTAAAAATTGGGTCTGTCTCTAAAGAGTTGAGAGACTCAACTAGCAGCCTCTGGCACATGTCCCACAGAAATAATGCTCCACAGAACTAAGGTGGAATAAAATGATTAAGTAAGGAGATTAATTTTAAAAATATTTTTAGCAGCTTTATTGTGGTATAATTCATATACAACACAATTTGCCTACTTCAAGTGTACAGTTTGATGATGTTTGGTAAATTTATACAGTTGTGCTACCATCACCACAATCAAGTTTTGAAACATTTCCACCCCCCAAAAGTTCCCTTGTTCCCATCTGCAGTCAATCCCCACTCCCACCCCAAGGCCCAGGCAACCATTGATCTGCTTTTTTCTTTACAGTTTTGTCTTTCCTAGAAATTTCATATAAATGGAGTAGTGCAATACATAGTCTTTTGTGTCTGGCTTATTTCACTTAACATATTTTTGTGGCTCATACATGTTGTAGAATGTTTTATTAGTTCATTCTTTTTATTGCTGAAAGGTATTGCATTGTATGAATATGCCACATTTTATTTATCCACTCAGCAAATGATGGACATTTGGATTGTTCCCACTTTGAGGCTATTATGAATAATGCTCCTATGAACCTTCACATACAAGTCTTTGTGTGGACATATGTTTTCATTTCTCTTGAGTAGATACCTAAGGAGACTGATATTTTAAATTGAATGAATTCATTGAAATGACATTTATTGAATGCCTACTACTGAGAAGCACTGGACTAGGTGCCAGGTATATGATGGTGAATAAAATTTGGCACAAACTCACTCCTCATGGAGCTTGCAGTCTGTGGAGGAGGCAGGCATTAGTTCAATAGCCATGCAAACAAATGTAACATCACAGCAATGTAAGTGCCATAAAGGAAGGTGTAGGGTGCTGTGAGAGATTACGCTAGAAGGATCTGTCTTGATCAAGGAGGTCGGGAACGCTGCCCTTGAGCTGAGATCTGAAATATGTCAGAACTTAGCCACCCTGTGAGTTCTGTCCTCCAGAGTAATATCTTATGAGGCCATCCACGTATTTCCAGTAATGCTACCCTTGCAAAGAACTCTGAGGCAGTTTATACGTGTGCTGTTCTCAGGCCTGTTTGTCCTTAGATGAAGTCCCTATGCTTTAACCTCTCAGAATTTTTTGAAAGCTTTGAGGCAAACACAATCAAATGTCAAGAAAGGTTAATTTGGGGCAGTGTCATATTTCTGTACTTTTCTGTATGTTTAGAATATCTCATGATTTAATATTTTAAAAATATGTTTTTTTAATTCTCTTGAGAATTGTACCTGTCACGCAGCCCAGCCTGTCTTGTCAGATGCTAAATCTTATTTTCTCTCTGTGGGAAGATGGGTCATGATTGGAAGGATCCTGGAATCTCGAACTGGGGAGATGATGCCAATGTCCAGTATTGTGGAGCTACAACAGTCCAATGCCTGTATCTCCACTGTAGAAGTAAATCTGCCACAAGGGGTTTTCCTGCCAAAATCACTATTCTCCAGGACAGTATAGTTAAGAGTAGTTAAGCCCACAGTCTTTGGAGCCCTGCAGGTCTGGTTCAAATCCAGCTCTACAACTAGTGATCTTAAGAAAGTCACTTAACTTACAGTTTCTTGGCTCCAATAATAGGGTTGTTGTATGGATTAAATGACTCATGCAAAGTACTTAGCACATGGTAACTGCTCAAAAAGGGTTTATTACTACATTATTATTACATCCTTTCATCTGGCTCCCATTTTCCTATGGTCTGTATAGACTATCCCTGTTAGTTGACTTGCTTTTTAAAAACGTTAATTCCATTGATTCAGCTGAAGTCAATCTCTGTTCTTCTTGCCTTTGGCCTGGGGGATCTTCTGTCTTTAGAGTGCCTTCTGCTGCTTATATGGCCTCTATCCTTATGTAGTAATCTGACAGATTGAACTCGTAAAGTGCTGCAGAGCTCTCGCTCTCACCCATGGGAGTATCACTACTACTATTTCGATTTTTTAAAGTCTGAGCTTACACATATAAATGAGTACATTCCCTTTCAGTAACTTTGACTTATGGAAAGTCACACCTCAAATGTTCTTGGGCAGGATTTTTAAAAAACGCTGGTCACCCTACCCTGAAACAACTCCATAAATCCTTCATTCTTGTTCAGCAGTGTACTTTCCTGCAACAACCATTAGACCATTTTAGCCATAAAAACTTGCTTAAGCCGAGGCTTTTTAGGAAGCCTCAAGTGGTGGAATCCTTTCCCTTATGTGGATAATTCTACCATCAGCATTACTAACCAATTTAGAGAGGCTACCATCTGCAAACTGACAATAAAAGAAGCAACACTGTTTCACATTCTAGGAATAAAACACTGTAGTTTTTTTAAATTAATTAGTTTCCATGATTTTGCTGTGGCAAAGTGTGGTAGCCATCCTCCAAGATGGCCCCCAATGATCTCTACCTGCTAGGATTCAAACTCTTACATTTTCACCTCCTATCCTGAATAGAGTTGATTTTTGTAACCAGTGGGATATTGCTGAAATGATAAGAGTGTGACTTCCAAGGCTAGGTCAAAAACAACATTGCAGCATTTGCCTTGCTCTTTTTGATCATTTACCATGGGAAAAGTGAGCTGCCATGTCATAAGGACACTCAGCCCTATGGAGAGGTCCATGTGGCAAGGACCTGAGGCCTCTTGCCAATAGCCATGTGAGTGCACCATCTTGGAAGTAGATCTCCATGCCTAGTCAAGCCTTCAGATGAGACTGCAACCCCAACCAACATCTTGACCGTAACCTCATTAGAGACCCCTTAGCCACTGCACTAAGCCACTGCCAAATTTCTGACCCAAAGAAATTATGTAAGATAATAAATGTTTGTTGTTTATAAGCCACCAAATTTTTAGGGCAATTTTTTATGTAGCAATAGATGACTAATAAGCTCAGTATTTACTTGTGTAATATAAATGACATCCATCATTAACTTACTGTATATGTAAAATATGTTTGGTTTTTATATAAACTTGCCCCAGATTTTAAGTGTTTTCTAAATATATGGTCTACATCCAGATATTTTGAGTTATTCCATGGCAGATTTCAGTACCATTCAGCAAGCATGTGTTGACTACGTGTTTCATAACCTGTTAATGACAGAAAATACAGATCAACAATTGGCAATTTGAACCAGGCTGATGGCAGTAAGTGGCATTTCTTCATCCAATTATGCTTTTCTTACTGTAGGTAAAACAAGGGATGCCAGAAAGTCCAGCTTCTACCACATCTTTGGCTTCTTCCTGGAATATATCTTAGAAGAGAATAAAGTTGGAGAGAAGGATGTCCCCATGTTAACAAAACATGAACTGTTACATTGGCAATTTATAATAGCTAACATTTATTGAGCACTTAATATGCACCAGGCATTGTTCTAAATGCTTTACATGAATTAACATGTTTAATTCTTATCAAGGGAAAATTGTTATTACCCTCATTTTACACATGGTAGAAGTGAGGCCCATCACTGGAAAGAAGGCAGCAAAGTCCGGAGCTGTCATCATCTCTGTCCATCAGCCACAGGCCCAGGTGCTGAAGTGGGGCAGTAGCTGCCACACCCACAGCAATTCAGTTCAGTGTCCTAGGTTTCTCTGGGCTCCTGCTCCAGGTATCACAAGCAAATACAAAGTGGAGGTTTTACAGAAGGAAATGTGAAAAGAAAACACACAAAAAGCACAAAAATAAAAATATTGGCAGAAAACAGATGTGTGATGGTTAATTTTATGTGTCAGCTTGACTGCACTAAGGGGTGCCTAGACAGTTCATAAAACATTATTTCTGAGTGTGTCTGGGAGGATGATTCCAGAAGAGATTAGCACTTGAACTAGTAGATTGAATAAAGATCACCTTCACCAATGTTGTTGGGCATCATTCAATCCATTGAGGACCCAAATAGAACAACAAAGATGGAAGAGAGCAAGTTCTCTCTCTCTCTTCTCAAGCTAGGAAATCCATCTTTGCCCACAGACATTGCAGCTCCTGGTTCTAAGGCCTTCGAAGTCCAGGACTTACACTTGCACCTCCTGCTCTACCCCCAGCCTCTGTTCTCAGGGCTTCAGACTTGGACTAGGAGCTGTACCATTGGATTCCTTGGTTCTCAGGCCGTTGGACTCAGACTGAATTACAACACTGGATTTCCTGGTTCTTCAGCTTGCAGACAGCAGATAATGGGACTTCCAGGCCTCCATAATTATGTGAGCCAATTCCCAAAATAAATCCTCTCGTATGTGTGTGTCCCGTTGGTTCTGTTTCTCTGGAGAACCCTGACTAACATAGATGTCTTATACAAATTTAAAAAGATGAATAGCCACAGCTTAGTCTGACTGGCTTAATTAAGGGCACTGTTTCTCAAAGTGTGGTTCCTGGACCACCAGCAGCATCTAGAAACTTCACAGACATCCGGATTTGGGGGCTCCAAGCCAAACCTACTGGATTAGAAAGCCTTGGGATGGGGCTAGCAGTCTATGTTCAAATGCATGCTAAAGTTGGAGATCTACTGAATTAGGGGACCCAGCTGTCACTAAACCTGGGTGGTGTGACTCTAAAGCACATGACAGTTCTGGGTAGTCATTTCGGTGCCAATTTTGGAGTTTGACAGCGTCAATGAAAGATATCATTCTAGGCCCCCCCCCCAAAACCCCATGACTATCATTTCCACATAGGTGTGGAATTAGACAAAGATCTTCAACATGCCTTTGGTGTTCCCTGTCAAAAGATTCCTGGGCTAGGATGTAGAGTGCCCATCTAACGTAACATGAAAATATGAATTAAATGCCCACCATGGTGGATGAAAGTCATGTTGAGAGAAGGCTAAAGAGGCCAGGTCACTTTACAGCAAGATTAGGTAGTGTAACATGCACTAGCTGCTATAACAAATATACCCACAAAAGAATCATTATTCATAGTTATCCAACAAAAAGAAGTTGATTTTTTGCTCAGATAGCATTTCAAAGGAAGCATTTCTACTTAAGTCACAATCCTCTACCTGGTGATTCAGGGTTCCAGGTTCCTTCTACCCTATGAGTACATCATCATTTAGGGCTTTTGTCATCCTCTACATCCAACTAGCAGGAGGAGATTGTGGTGAGGACACACCCCCTTCTTAAAAGCATTGGCCTGGAAATGACACATGTCACTTCTGCTCACATGTCATTGGCTTGAACTCAGTTACATGACCATACCAAACCACATGAGAAGCTGAATAATGTAGTCTACCTGTGTGCCAGGAAGAAAAGGAAATGAATTTTTGATGACGAGATAGCAATATATTTTATTGGGGACAGACTAGGATGATGGAAAAACTGGACTGTGAGCTCCTAGAGATGAAAAACTGTATATTTTTTATCTTCAGTATTTTCAGCACCTAATAAGTACCTTGTAGTGCTCAGCGAATGTTGGTTGAATGAAAGAAAACATTGGAAAAGTGATGGGAAATGTGTGGCACACCTGTTTCTGCTCCTCTCTCCCACATCCATAGAGATATTCTGGCTGATTCCCTACATCCTTTCTTGCTAATCCTGGATTTAGCCCCAGAATCTTTATCAATTTGGTGCTCTAGGCAGACATTATCAATTGACTAGGAATGTCTTGCAGTGTGAAAACTTTTTGCTATCTCTGACTTTCTAACTGTAGTCATTTCATCTGTGAAATGGGTATAAGCTCTGTCTAGGCAATTTCTCAAGGTTGTTGTAAGGATCAAATGAGATGCAGCATACAGAAGAGATTTGGCATAAATTTAAGACTTATTGTTGAGAATTTCAAGAGTAGTGTTTTATACGTGGGACATCAAAGTATAAACCCTTGATGTATACTTTGCACGTCTTTGTGCTGACCAGAGCCCTTTATAAACAAGTGACCTACATTGTTGAAATGTTGGTGCCTTCAAGATCTTTTGACTCAGGGCTCTGGAATCTTCCAGCTGCTGAGGAGTTACATTTTCCCAGACTGGACTGCTGACCAGTCACAGGCAATTGCCCCTCTTCATTCATTTCTGAAATATTCTTTGGCCAAGTCTCTGCTAGCAGCATATTTTTCATGAACTCTTTCTTGAAAGGTTTTGAAGAAGTATAAACTATCGGCCTGTTTTGAGCTCCATGAAGAAGTCTTAACACTTTGGCTTGCCCAGCAAATGAATGGTTCTCCAGGCAAGGAGCTGGGCTACCCAGAATTGCCCAAACGATTTCACCCTCGTTTGAACTTGTGCCTGTGATGGATTCATGACCTTAAAACTGTATAGGAATCTAGCCATTCATTTAGCCATGGTTCTCAGTGGTCATGTTTTGACATAGTCAGTCCTGAGGTGTATGGCCAGTAATTCGTTACTAATCATATATAAAGGACCACAGTCTGAGTGATTTCCCTGTTTTTTTCTTTTTTTTTTTTTTGGCAGCTGGCCAGTAAGGGGATCTGAGCCCCGATTTACCTTTTCTAAAAAAATAAATAAGTGGGAGCAGTTATTCTTATAATAATATCACTTCTATTCATTTGCATTCTGATCTGCTGTCCTGAGCAACAGAGCAGTGGTGGCATTTTAGCCGAGTGCTGGGAATTTTACCCAACTCACAGTCCCCCTTATCTGTGTTTCAGCCTGTGGTTAGAGACCATTAACAGTTCTGACAGCTATAAATTATGGTAGCGCTTGTGAGTGGCGATTTTACAGTTACTGCCACTATTTATTCTTTTGCTTCAGTAGTATATGCGCTCTTACCTTATTAATAGTACCTGTTGGAGGACAGTCTGGGGAAAAACACAAAACTTGCTAAAAGTAAAGTTAGCCATATTTATTTAGTTTTTCCTCATATAATGGCAATTTTGAGATTTTTTATTGAAATGTATTGATTATACATATTTGTGGGGTACAGAATTTTGTTTCAATGCATGTATGCAGTGTGTGATGATCAAATCAGGGTAATTAGCATATTCATCATTATGAAACTTAAATGCATGTATGCAGTGTGTGATGATCAAATCAGGGTAATTAGCATATTCATCATTATGAAACTTAATCATTTCTTTGTGATGAGTACATTCAATCTCCTCTCTTCTATCCATTTGAATACATGCAGTAAATTATTGTTGATTATAGATGCCTAGCTCAGCTCCATACCAATAGAACTTGTTTTTCCTGTTTAGCTGTTTTGTGTCCATTAACCAATCTCTCACTATACCTCTTCCCCCTTCCTCTTTCCCACCTCTAGTAACCACAGCTCTGCTCAATTTTTGAGATTTTTAAATGGCTTTTTTTCATTATCCACGTATTTGCAAAATGCTTTTATGACCATCATACCACATGTATTTTATAGTATTATTTGTCTTACTTCCCTAGGAGAAAAACCCAATATAGACTGTGAGGAGTATGGGTTTCATCCAGCCTCATCATGGGGGTAGGTGTAGCAGAAAAACCATTTAGACACACAGCTTTAATCCATCACCTGCCTACACACACACTCACATATTGCAAGGTTATTTATTGCCATAACTCCTTCTGGGTATAACCAGGAGAAGGGCAGATCAGGGTTAACACAAAGTCAATACCAGCAGGGCTCTGTAAACTAAAATTCCAGGAAGACCTACTGGCATATAGGCAGTACAAAGTACCACAGGCAACACTGAGTTTGGGTTAGGAGCCAAGAGCTCCAACTCATTTGGAGATAGGATCAGAAAAAAAGATGATTGAGAATAAATGACAAAGATCCAGGTAGAATGACCTGTTTTGGTAAGTAGGTCCAAATTGTGGAGTGTGTGTGTGTGTGTGTGTCTGTGTGTGTGTTTGGGGTCTTGGAAGGGCACTGTTTAGTTATTTAAAGGGTCATAGGCAAGGCAAATAAGGGTAGCCTATGAATAATTAGAGGGAGGGTTGAGTAGATGGATAAATTGATGCGTGGATGATTGGTGGATGAATGGATGGTTGAATGGATAAGTGAACATAATGAAGTTAGGATGGATGGCTAATATGACTGATGAATGAATAATGGGCAAGTGAATGATTAGGTGGATGAATGAATAAATAAATGGACAGTTGGATGAATGGATAGATATATAACATGCATGCATGCATACATACGTACACATATAGATGAGTAAATGGGTAACCAAACTGGTGAATTGGTAGATGAACACAAGGACGAATGAATGCATAAATGGATGGATGATGTGGTAGGCAGAATAATGGCCCCCCAAAGATGTTTCTATCTTAATTAGAACTTTTAATATGTTAGATTACATGGTAAATGGGAATTAAGGTTGCTAATCAGCTGACCTTGAGATGGGGAGATTATCCTGGATTATCTGTGTGGGTCCAATGTAAGCACAGGGGTCTTTATAAGAGGAAGGAAGAAGAGACAGAGTCTGAAAGAGATTTGAAGACGCTATGCTGCTTGCTTTGGAGTTGGAGGAAGGGGCCATGAGACCAGGAATGCAGGCGGGTTCGAGCTGGGAAAGGCAAGAAAACATTCTCCCCTAGGGCCTCCAGAAGGACTACAGCTCTGCCAACACTTTGGTTTTAGCCCTTTAAGACATGTTTTGGACTTCTGACCTCCAGAACTGTAAGATAATAAATCTGTGTTCTCTTAGGCCACTAAGTCTGTGGTAATGTCTCACAGCAGCAATAGGAATGGATGAATACATCGATGGATAAATAGAGGGATGGAAGATGGATGAATACCTGAATGATTACATGGATGCATAATAATTACAAAGCTG